GAAATAATACCTGTATGGTTTCTTTTCTTGTAGTACCACTGTTGAATAGAGGCTCGAAAAAACTCCATTAACATAGTAATGGGTAATTTCCGGGAATGACGACTTAGAGCGTTGATTGATTCTGCACTATTAGACGTCATGAAACCATATCTTGCTCCAAGTTGATGTACTCTTGACCATCTTTCAAACCCGACATCTTCTAGTGTTTGAGCACACTGAGGCAAAACACGTCTTAAACAATTTATATGCTTATTGAAATCCACTTCCCGATAAGCTTTTACAGCCTTCCAGTATGTCCATTTGTGCTTTTTTATACCAGCAGACCTTGATTTTAGATTTCTATACAAATGAACACCACAAAGTCCATGAAAAGCATCTGGGAAACACCTTCTAACAGCGTTGTCAATTGAGTTTGCCCTATCGGATATGATTGTCAGATTGCTAATAGGACCTATGCAATCCCTAAGATGCCCCATAAACCATGTCCATGAATCAGAGGTTTCAGATTTGCCAACCCCGTAAGCTATTGGCAATATCCCATTGTTAGCATCCATGGCTACTGCTAATAAGTTTACTCCAAGGTATCGACCTTTCAAATGTGCTCCGTCAACTATAATAACTGGGCGCATGCAAGTAATAAACGAACGAATCTACAAAATAATATACACAAGAAATATAATCATTTAAATGTGAAATGCATGTAACTAACAAAATGAGTCAACAAAATTATATTGATTTACTAACCGTAGCACCAATGGCGATAAACAGCAACTCAAAGCGTCCATCTCTATCTGTTTTGATATGAGTTACCGACCCAGGATTTTTCAGCTTTAAATTGTGACAATAAGCCGGCAGTTGGGCAAACGATGCTTCTGGCGACCCCCTCAACAATTCCAAGGCATAACATTTGGCTCTCCAAGCTTGAGAATATGATATACTAATCTTGAACCGAGCATTCATGTCAGTCATAATTTCATGTCCCCGATATACCCTGCCATTCAAAAACATTAACTCAGCCAGAAAACCACCCAACACCTTTTTGTTTGCCTGTCTATGGTGAGGAAAAACTTGGGTTCTTGAACATGTATGTTTATCAATAAAAGTCCTAACTTGAAACATTTTGCAATCTTTTATTCTCTTTGCAATCATACGCCACGTACAGTTTTTGTCAATCATACACCTTGTTTCGAAACGATCTTTGCTTGATTTGTTAACTTTTAGTTGATAGCCATCTTCCACACATTTCGTATACAAAGCTATCTTCAAGTCTTCCTTTGTATCAAAACAATCATCTTTCTTGATACGAATAACTTTTGTGTAACAATCAACTGCTTTCTTTATCAACTCTTCTTCCGGTATCTGAAGTAATTCTGGCATATTCCAGTTATACGCCCGTGGCATTTTCTTTTCTTCGGGGACTTTTTCTTCTTCTTTTTCTTCTTCAGGATTATATGAATTACAGAATGGATGTTCAACATGTTCATTCACAGTCGTAACTTCCTCCTCATTATCATCAACAATACATTCTTCGGCAACGGCTGTTTCATCATCAAAATTCGGGTATTGACCAATATCAAAATCATTACACGCAGGGTCTGTTTCTTCTTCTGAAACATCATCAAAATCCGTGTATTGACCAATATCAAAGTCCGGATATTGACCAAGACCAAATTTCGAATACTGACTAGTACTCACAATTTTTTCTGTTGGCTCATCATCGTCTAACTGGTCAATACGAAAACCGGAATTTGGTGCTGAAAGTTGATTGGGATTTGGATTAGAGACAGGTTGTGGGTTTTGAGAAAAACTTAGTTGATTACTACCCGCTACTGACCCAACAATACTACTTCTAGGTTCAACAACATACAATGTAACATCATCTTGTGAAACACTAATGTAAGCAATGAATCGTTCAACATCTTCATTGTCGGTTAACAAATAAACTTTACCATTTCTCTGATAAGATAGCCTAAATCCACTTAGGGGCTCTAAATTCAATTTATTTGAAACACGTAGCATTAGAGTTTCATAAGTTAACTTTTGTAAAGACAATTTTAGTTGAAGATTCATGGGTAAAGGCATATATTGTAAAACACCATGAACATTATCCCATGACCCTCCAAAACACAAATCTATCCAAACATGATCAACATTAGATGATTTCATGGTTGTAAATTAATTTACTAAACAGACGAGCTGCGAAACTAAAACCTGTTGCCGGATTGGGAAGGATGTCGTTGGATATAGGAACGGATGTCGCCGGAGAGAGTGATAGATGGAGATGGAATGAGTTGCGATTTAGGGATTTAGTTTATGATTTCAGTGTTATATACCCAAAATTTTAGTGTTGTGATTTACAGATTCTCGTTGCGATTTACGGATTATCGTTGCGATTTACAGATTCTCGTTGCGATTTACGGATTATTGTTGCGATTTACGGATACGCGTTGCGATATACGGATACGCATTGGAATTTACCCATACGCGTTGCGATTTACGGATACACGTTGCGATTTACGGATACGCGTTGCGATTTATGTGTTCGCGTTGCGATTTTCATATTCGCGTTGCGATTTTGGAAAATCGCAATGCGAATTTGTACTATCGCATTGCGATTTTTAAGAATCGCGTTGCGATTTTGGAAACTGATTTGCGATTCTGGGGATCGCGTTGCGATTTTTATTTCGCGTTGCGATTTTGTTGGTCATTTTGGAAAAATCCAAAAAAAGTTGGTTAAAATCGTATATTATAAGGCATTTTTGGTCACTGAGGCGATTTTCTCTATAAATTATATTATGAATTAGTGATGTAGGAATGAGAGATAAATATGCAATAAATCTTATGTGTTATATGATAAATATGAACATATGAGAATAAGAGATAAGATAAGTATTGACTTATAGGATAAAATGAGATTATATGAACATATAGTATAACTTTATGAGGAAGACTTAGGGGTTATATGATTTAGGTATGAAAATGATATATGTGTAAGTGAATTACGTGATTATGTGTGAAATGGAGTAAAATATGTAATTATAAAGTATATGAATATATATGTTTATAAGATAAGTCATGTGATTATTGAGGTATATGAAATTAAGAATTAAGAAGTTATAAGAGTATATGTTTATGATAAAATATAAGAATAAGTTATAAGTCATGTAATATGTGATTTAGATGGAATTGTTCTACTTGCAAGTGATTACATGCATAATTTATCCATGTTTTAATATGACATTATGTGTAATGAGCGGTATTACCAAAGGACAATGCTAAGTGATATATGAAAAGATAGAGTGACCATATTTGTATATTTGAAGTGAATGATGTGTTTATATGATGAATGATAAGAGAGATATGAAAATGTAAAGTGTATCCACATTTAAGCCCATGTCATTTAATATAAGAGTTGTAGGCATAATTGGCATGCCAAAAGTCAAGGGATTATCAGTGGTCTTTCGGGATATAATGTCCTTCGGGACATATCAGCGGTCCTTCGGGACAAATATTCAGTGCCCCTAGTGGGAATTATTCAAGCTGTGGTGACAGCATTCGTGCACAACCTCAGTGTACTCACGTACCTTCTGTTCTCAATAATATACATGGGCAATTCTAAGATAAATTGAAATGAAATTGCATCAGAATATTATTTTCACATGTGCATAATATGATCATATGTGTTATAGTTTAGTAGATAAACATGAATTACACTGTTATATTTGATTCTTGATGAATTGCTCTAAGTGATAGATGATGTGCACATTTAGGGAAGATGATAATATACAGGTGCATGTATGTGCATGTTATATGAAATATTATATGGTTATGAATGATAAAATCATATTAAATGTTCATGCATTGTTCCGAATTAGAGTTTATATATATATATGTTTTTTCATGCCTCACTAAGTCATCGACTTAGCGTGTGAGTGTTTCACACGTAGGTTCTGGATAAACGAGAAGAGAAGTGAGTTGAAGCAACACAGGTCAGACTCTCCTTTCCACAAATCAGATCAAAATTATAGTTAAGTGTATGTATCTGGTTGTTTATAGTGTGTTGGCATGTAATAAAATTGTGAATTTCTAATGCTCTGATTAATTTGGTTCAAATGGGGTTCAACTTGTATAAATTAGCATCTTTTATTTTAATGAAAGTTTAAACTTTTCATGCTTTTCTTTAAGAGTTACAGTTTGAAAAGTCAATGTGACACCTCGGACTTGGATCCGGGTCGGATACGGGTTGGGGGTGTTACATGTTTAGTGACATTTTACTTGAATAATCCTTCGCACTCTGTGGATTCCCCCGTTTTACTTGTTGAATTTCTTTTGCCTCAACTGGAAAGGATTGGTACACGATAATCATGATTCCAATTAAATGCCCCTCAATTTATTTTAATTTGTTTATGTTCATCAAGGATTTGTTGTAAGGTGGATTATAGATTGACTAAAAGCTCATTTAAGGTTAATTCCTTTACAACCCTGACTAATATGGGTGTGTGTTCTTTTTGGTTTTGTGTGCATACTTGAATCTAATGTGGTAATGATCTTGATTTAGATGTCACACATGTTCTCACTGATCTTGAGCCCACCCTCTTTATTATAACTACGATGATTATGAATTTTTAGTTGCTTTTGATGAAAGTTTTATAGCAAGTGAATAATGAATTCTTGATTCTAATAACAATTGTTACTAGTTCTGTTAGGATAGATTTACGACGTACAAATTTGTATATATATGACTTTTTTTTAGAGAATAATATCTTTCTGTAAGGTCTTTGGTATTCATATATTCAAGTTTATGATGTTTGATGAATTGTTTGATCACTCAGAGATGTGAGACATATTTCAAATTTGAGAATAAATATGATTTCTTTAAACATTCTAATTTAAAAGGGTATAAATACTCTAGTGAATGTAGAGCTATAAAAATTCTTTAGTTACGATGAAATGAAAAGCTGCCAAATTTTAGCTGTTAGTTTTTTTTAAGGAAGAATAACTTATATTCCAATAACATCATCAATGACAAGTTGTTTAATACAATCAGGTTCATCCAGGAAAAACCATATTGGATTGTGGTTTGATAAGGTCCATTGCGCTAACGTGTGGACAACTATATTAGTTTCCCTACTTACATAGAGCACTTTGAAAGACGGGAAGTCAGCAAGAAGTGATCTAGCCTCATTTAGCAACAATCTAACTGTAGAGATATCCTCGGTCTTGTTCGGGGTCTGATTAGACAACCTGTACACTATCGATATAGCATCGCCTTCAATAATTACATTGTTTCACCCATTCTCAGTAGCAAAGTGAATACATTGAGAGAACGTCGTAGCTTCAGTGGATTCGGTCGTAAAGGGAGGATCAATCTTCATTGCCAATCCCCCAAGGACAATTCCATGTGCGTCTCGGGCCACAACTCCAACCGAGGATAAGTGCAATTTATTACTAAACGCTCTATCCACATTAATCTTGATCACACCCTGCATCGGCTTGCTCCACTTTCGAAGTCTGTGGGGGGATGGTTTTCACCTCTTATGTAGCCAAGCGGTTTAGAGACCTGCTTAAACTCCCCAATAAGATTTCAGGCTTTAGAAATAATGTCTTTGTCCCATTGTAGCTCCGCATCATGAATCTATTTATTTATATGGTTCCAAATATTCTATACCAAGGTGAGGAACAAATCAAACTCTTCGCGATTTAACTTGGACTGAACACGCTTATCCATTGGAGGCATGAATTTCCTTCCCAGTCAACAATCTCTTGAGGGAGACCCGGCAACAAAAGAATCGTCTTCGATTTGGGGCAGTCTTTAATCGCGTGCAACACCGACTCAAGTTCCGAATTACAGACTTGAAAAATACTTTCCCCAAGTTTAGCTTGTTTTAGCTTTGTTCCCGTTAGAATAGCTTCATGAAAAAGCCTCCAACCAAAAATTTTAATCTTTGGGAGGACATTTGCCTTAGCCACTGCATTCCAAATGCCATCCGCGATCAAGGATGGGTTGTTCTGAATCTTTAGCCAATTATAGCCCGACTTAGCAGAGTAAGAGCCCGAATAATGATGACACCACAATATTTAATCACCATGAATCGGTGCAATCAACGTGTTGATCACCTGTGATGCATCTTTACTGGAAAGTACTCTTCTTACTTTGAGTTCGTCCCATCTGGGGCATCCTGGGAGCAAGAATTCTGATACCCTTATTGGTTGGTCTGCACTGTCCAAGTACCTCTCCTTCCACCTAATTGGTCCAGACTCCCCCCAGTTATCTGAGAACAATCTAGCCTTGCTGTCAATCCTCACCCTCTAGAAAAATCCATCCCTAAGCGCATCCTTGGCCTTCATGATATTTTCCCACACATAAGAATACCTCTCCCAAAGTTTTGCATCAAGAAAATTCGTGCATGGGAAGTATTTAGCTTTAAGTACCTTAAAGGCAAATGACTCTTCGTCGTGAATGAGTCTTCACACCTGATTGCCTAAGAGGGCAATATTAAACAATTTAAGATCCCTAAAACCCATCCCGTCAAATTTTTTGGATCAGTACAACTTTTCCTAGGCAATCATAGCCCATCCTCTAGAATCTTGCTTCCCTGACCACTAATATGACCTCGCTTGAGATTTGATATCCTCAATAACCCCTTCCGAGAGCAGATAACAAGACATATCATAAACATGAAGCGCTTGAACAACCGACTTAATGAAAATTTCTCGACCTCCAAAAGAAAGGATTCGCTTTGTCCAACCTTGAATTCTCTTCGCCGTCATATCTTTAATAAAGTTGAATGCCGCACGCTTGCCTTTTCCCACAGCAAGAGGTAACCCAAGATAATTCCCTGGATCAAAAGACTCCACAACTCCCAGCTCATTTAAGAAAATCATCTGATCCACAACAGGTGTATTGGGGCTAAAAAAGATGTTAGACTTCTCAAAGTTTACCTTTTTCCTTGAATCCTTTTCGTATTGAGACAATATACTCTTTATTCTTCTCAACTCATCAATAAAATTCTTCATAAACAGGATGTTATCATCGGCATAAAGTAGGTATGAGATCCTCGGCCCACGAAGACTAGCACGAATTCCCTTAAGCTCATTCCTCCTTTGTTCTGCAAGAAGTAATGCTGAAAGTCCATGTGCACAAAAAAGAAACAAATACGGGGACAATGGGTCACCTTATCGGAGCCCTCTTTCCAGAGTGAAAGGATCTAACAATGCACCATTAATACGAACTTAAAAGGAAACAGTGTTACTTACATATGAGATTAGCTAAAGAAACATTAAATCACATACGAAGCATGACATTAAGAACGAAATCCCGCTCAAATCTATCATAGGCTTTTTCCATATCTAACTTAATTAGGGCCATTTTTTTAGCCTTTGAGGTAATGGATAAGCTCATGGGCAACTAAGAAATTATCGAAAATGTGCCTACCGGGGACAAAGGTACATTGGTTTTCAATAATACAAACAGGCATCAAAGGCTTTAACCGATTAATAATGAATTTCAAGACAACCTTATAAATGATCGAGCAAAGGTTTATCGGTCTAAATTGGACTGGTTATTATGGTAACTAGAACAATTATAGTTCGGTTAACAAAATCATAGTTTGATGAACCATTCAACAAACTTAAATAGAGTTCAACAAAATCACAACCAATAACATACCGAAAACAACAGAAAAATTGACCAGATAGACCATCATAACCTGGTGCTTTCGAAGGGTTAATTTGCGAAAAAGCTTGAGTGACTTCCTTGGCGGTGAAGTTGCAGCTGAGCATCTCGTTATCCATCAACGTCACGCAATGATCAATGGCTTGCAGAATCTCCTCATCGGGTGCAGCACCTAAAGTCCAAAAGAGAGAGGTGAAGTAGCTAGTAGCGACATCAAAAATGTCTTCCATCTGATCACACCAAATACCCCCTCACTCTTCAACCCCTCCACCCAATTCTTTTTTGTCGACCATTCGCTCTTGCATGGAAGAAGGTTGAGTTCCGGTCTCCATCATTCAGCCATAATACCCGTGATCTCTGATGTCAATATGCCTCATCATTATCAATAAGGTCCTTAAGCTCCGCCAAGGCTTTACTTCGTTTCTCACAGACACCATCCAAAATCTGAGCCGAATCAAAATAAAGGATTCGGTCTCGGAGACGCCTCTCATCACGCTTTGCTTGCCCTCTTCGCAACCTTTGCCATTTCCCGAGTCTGTCACCCACCGTCATGATTTTGTTAGAAAATAAATCATCTTTGTTCTCCCAAATCTCTCGAACAATATTTCGACACTGTTTCTCACTCACCCAACACGCGTTAAATTTGAAATAGTCAGCCATGTGAGACTGATTTAGAGATACACTTTCCACCATAAGGAGAAGAGCACAATGGTCTGATGAAGCGATCACGATCTTAAACACTGAACAACCAAGAAACATAAGTCGCCAATCATTCTTGGCCACAAACTGGTCAATACGCTCTTGCACAAAAGAATGTGCCCGAGTTCCACTCGCCCATGTATACCAACCAGCCTTGGGCCGAATGTCCCATAGTCAGCATCTAAAGACACATTTGAAAGTCATTCATGTGCACCCTTACATGTCTTTGACCTCATTTCTTCTTTGATGGATGGATAATCTCATTAAAATCTCCTCCCATACACCATGGGAGTGAAGAGGTGGAGGACAGGTGTGAAACGATTTCCCAGTTATGCTTCTTATCAATGCACACGCTTCGACCATAAAACCCCGTGAATCTGAACAGATGCTCTTTCCATTGAACCTCCATATCTATATGAAGACTTGAATAGCTCTGTAGTGTAACAGTGATTCCTTCCTTCCAAAGCAATATAAACCCAACACAGTCATCCGCTTTGTCCACAGAAAAACAACTGAACATCCGAGTAGCAAGTCATATAGACTCGACTTTATTTTTTCTAAGCTTTGTTTCTGAAAAAAAAGTGAGCAGCGGGTCCTTTTCGGAGATGATCCTCCGAAGCTCGCGAACTGTCGTAGGGTTCCCAAGCCCCCGACAGTTCCAACACAACATCCTCACGACGACTGGCGAGGCTGGACCTCAGCCACTGCCGTCATGAAAATGTCACCCGATTATTCCGTCAGAGCCTCTCTCGGATCCTCTTCTTCGCTTGTACTAGCTCTTGAATTCATAGTAGAGTTTGTGGTGTTCACCTCATGGCAAACCATCTGCTTGAACTTTTTCTTTCATTTACTAGACTCTCCGCCATTCCTTTTTCCGGAGCTTGAAGACTCCACATCAGCACGCACGCTAGGGGTCCGGTTCAGTTGTTGGTCCTCTTCCCTCAAAGAATCTCGAACCAAGTAAACATTTGGGACAAGTTGTTCGGGCCAATGGGGTCGATAAGATCGGAGTCATCTTCTTGGTTTGTGCTAGACGAATGCAACAAGTCCCTTCCCGGAGCCCACGGTCTTCCACGAGCTACCCTTGCGGGCCGGTCCGATAGAGGACTATTACCCGAACTCGTAATTGATCTATCTTAATTCTAACTTCAACATACATTATGCTCTCCCTTCTATTACGGCTAGTATCCTCAGTCCGTTTGTTGGCTACCACACGTAGTCATTCACCGAATTGAAGGGGTTGTTGGATATGCTCCGAGAAGCTCGGGCATTTGGTTAACACATGCCCAATAATCCCACATATGTGACAGAAAGACGATAATCTCTCGTATTTCAATAGGTACTTTCGAGGCTAACCATTAGCGAGCTGGCCCATCTTCGTACATTGTCTTAGCGGCTTCAAGCAGTCAATTTCAACTCTAACACGAAGATAGTCACCCATCCTGCCCTCCCCAGACCACGTATCAATAGCTCTTATCTTACCAATTTTATTTCCAATTTTTTTCGCCGTCTCCTTCCGCATCAACCCCAAAAGGAGCTCATGAATCCTAACTCATACTGCTAATGTCCGAAAATCAAACTCCTCCAAACTTAACGTGGGGTCAAAATATGCTAACGCCATAAGGGTCCCTTCGAAACTCCAGGGAGTTCGTTTCATGATGACCTGTTTGTCACTTAGAGTCTTAAACTTAAACAGAAACATATTATCTTTCAGTATGTTGAAATCCATTAGTCTATTGTTACCCCATATGAAGTGGAAGACTCATAAGACAACCTCGCTATCTACCTTCTTATAGCCGATGATTTTTGCAACTAACCACTTGTCCATTTCCATGAGATCATCCTCAGAAATGACTCTCGGCGGGGAGATGTCCTCTGATTCTTCCTCTATAAAATTCAGTTGTTGCAATAGATGCGCGACTTCTTCCGACATTATGAGATCGAGCAGAGCGGTTGTGGATTTTTGGTTGAAGGTGAATAGCGTATGAAGACTCTCAGTTAACAGATCACTGCATCAAATTTCCAAGGCTAGAGAAAAATACTTCTCTTTGTGAAGGTGTGAAAGGTGTAGCGTCTCTCTCTTACTTAGACATATCCTCCTCTGAAGACTCAATT